TCTCTCTTCTCTTCCATCTCTGTTAGCTTCAACATTATGAATGCTCTAAATTCCTTATTAGACATTTCCATGATTTTCACCAAACTGCTTGTGGATGAAGAAGAGTTACTCTTTTCTCTTGGAGGAGAGGTATTTTCTTGCTTTCCCATATTTCTTGTGATCTGGCGGTGATTTCTTGTCATCTGATGGATGCTGTGTTTCTTTCAAATTCTTGAAGTTCAGTCTAGTTCACAGGAGCCATGAGGAATCTTCTTCTGAAGGCCTGGCCTCTCCTGCCATGCTAGCTTGTTTGCTGGAGGCTGAATTATCAGTAGAAAATCTTCATTTCTCATGTGCCCTGAAATACCTAGTTCGCAAGAGCCATGAGGAATCTCGACCCCTTATTTACTTATTTTTTAAAGTCATGTTTGCTGAGGTATAATATATAGTACTACTTTTTCTATTGTTGCTGTTACACATTACCACAAGCTTAAATGCTGGCTTAAAGCAACACAAATTTATTCTCTCATAGTTCTGGAGTGCAGAAATCCAAAACAAGTCTCTGGCTGTTACCAGGCCAGGGTCCTTCTGCAGGCTCTAAGTGAAACCATCTTCTTGCCTTTCCCAGCTTCTAGAGTGGCCTGCCTTCACTGGCCTCTTCCAGCAGTACATCTTCACATCTCTCTTTAACCTTCTTACCTGTCTCTTATGAAGATGTTTGTGATGACATTGGGCCCATCAAAATAATCCAAGATAATTTCCCCATCTCAAAACCCTTAACTTAATTATATCCACCAAGTCCCTCGGCTATGTAACACAGCATATTCACAGGTTTGGGGGTTAAGACATAAGTATTTGAGGAGCCTACCACATTCATACAGTGAAAGTCACCTCTTCAGTGTACAATTCCATGAGTTTTAGCAAGGGTCAAGTTATGCCACCACAGTCAAGCTATGGAACAGTTCCATCACTCCGAAAGTTCCACCATGTCCTTTGGTGGTTATTTTCATTTACTACCCCAGCCCTTGGAACCACTAATGTTTTCTATAGTTTTGCTTTTTCTAGAAAGATAGATAAATGGAATTATATGGTAAATAGCTTTTGGAATATATATACTTTATCTCAAAATAATGCATTTGCAAGTTCTCCATATTGTTATATATATTACTGTTGCTACACATTTGCCGTGTGACTTTGGGCAAGTCCTTACGCTTTCTAAGCTTTGGTTTCTTTATCTCAATAAGGACAGTAATCTCTCTTAAAGGATTTTTATGAGGATTAAAATAGATATTTTTGTCAGGTCCTATTTTAGACACTAGGCCTACAGCAGTGAACAAAACAAATGAAAAAAAAAAAATCTTGCCCTTATGTTATTTACATTCTAGTAGGGAAATAAATAAGTGAGGTGTATTAAAATATTAGATGCTAGTAAGGGTTGGCATGGAAGGGAGGGGGAGGTAAGGGCTAGTGCTCTGAAAAGTGCACTTTGGAAAATACCAACTTAGTATAATCTTTTTAAGAGTACCAATATTTAAAAATACAAGACGACCAAATTAGTTTTCATTGGAAGCGTCTGAGCTAAGATGTGGTGTTTTTAGCAGCCCCAATTTTTTAAAAAAAATATTTTTATTTATTTGTTATTATTTATTTTTTAATTTGACAGAGAGACAGAAAGGGAAAGTGAGAAAGCAAGCTGCCAGATCTGGGACTTAAACCACAGTTGGCCGTGTGGGAGTCCAGCCCCTTAACCACACCATCTGCTGGCCCCAGCAGCCCCAGTTTTATGTCCTTAGGCAGACTGTGTAAGTGATTGCTTCTGTGTTCAATAAAATGAAGTTCCAAAGCTGATTATGTTTTGGAAAAGCTATATTGCTATATACCCTTCTTAGAAATTACAATTCACACTTACATACAGATTCTGAGAAATTCAGTGATAAACTTGTTTAACTTTTCCTATCTCACTGTTATCCAAATTTATTTAACTATGGAAAACCTCTTTTGTGTTGACTTCTACTAATATACTATAGATCTAGTGTCCTACAGAACAGTTTAGGAATAACTGGCTGCTATAGGTGACATTATAAATTGCTTAAATGCAGTTCTGGTATCTATAGCAAAATAGATCTGAACCTTAGGTATAATGTAACTAGCATGACCTGATCACCCTGCTGTTTTTAATAGTACTTTAATTTTTAAAAAGCTATTGAGCTCTACTATTAAATGCAATGGTTTACATGTGAGGTATTGCTCAAAGTCCTTATTCCTTGGGAGTCTCCAGAGCATGATTTCATGTTCCACAGGTGACAAACGCCCCCTCCAGCCACCTTGGCCAGGCTGCTATGGCTGCTGCGTGGAGCACAGCTTACCACTCTTGCATTCTTACCTGGTTTCTCCAGGGTGTGCCACTTGCTTTTATCACTTCTCTCCTGACAATTCTTCCTTGTTTCCCAGAGAATGGGAAATAGCTAATGTTTACCAAAACGTTTCTGAAGGCTTAGATATAACATAAGTAAAATACAGAGATTGCCTTATGGCAGCCTGTATAGGAGGTTCAGGAGCCCACAAGGCAACAGCCATTGGACCTAATGGACCAGGCATTGTGGAAGGCCTGGCATCAGGAATAACTAGGCAACCACCCAACTCTGGAGCTCGAGTGACTCTCATCTGTGCCAGAGAAATAGACATGCCTGCGATTGGATGGGAGGATTTCTTCTTTTCTCTGGGTTCAAAGTTTCAAATTGGAAACAACCTTTTCCTTAGGTAAAACCTTCACAATTTTCAAGTCTGGCTTCCCAAGGCCTAGATAAAGCCATCACACTAGGTGACTTTTTCTGGTTTGGATGGTTTTGTCATAAATAACTCGATGTCAACCTTTCACAATCTATGGAGTGATGGTACACAGAGTGGTATTATTTATTTATTTTTAAAGTTTTTCCCTTCAGTTAAGGTTAAAAACAAAACAAAACAAAAAACTTTCACCTATCTCTTCAGTCTCATAATCTCTTATGAGCAAATACTTGGACCAAAAAGCCATGCACAAGTGTATGTGCACATACACGCTCTCACTCTTCCAGGAGCAACCCATACTTTCACACTTTCCAAGTCATGCTCTTCTACCCTCAGGGAAGAAAGACTACCCAGAAATAGGACAAATAAAAACATTTTTTGAACTATAGGATTTCATGTGCCTGAAGTGAAAGACACATCTAATTTATAACATTTCATCAGACTATTTTCATCAATTATAGGGTCTTAAAGTTGCCAATAACACTTTAGGAAAAACAAAAGTTCATTATTTCCTTTATATTGGTGAAACTAGAGAGACCATTTTGGTAAAATTCTCAATTCAAAAGAAGTTTGCTTGAAAGGTAAACAGGTTTCTCTGTTATACGGGTAGCTTTTTCATTACACTATTCTTTAAGAAAAAATCAAAGTCCACTGGCATAGTCCTAGTGATTCGCTTATCCATGACTTTTCCAGTAAGTTGGCTATTAGGAAGATAATTTTCTGGTCAATAAAAATAGAAGGTATAAACTGTACACTTCACAACCTTATCATGGAAGAGCTTTCTCGGGATACTTAAAGAGTTTATTTTCACTTTTGAAATAATTTAAGTTTATGCTTATCTGGTTTTGCATTCCACAGCAGATATGAAATAACACCAAAGCACAGACTTAAGGACATGCAGAGATTGGCAAAATCTGCACTGGGACAGCTCTGCTGCCTGCTACTGATACATGCCTTGGGGAAGCTGCTTAATCTGGCAGTTTTCTCAGCTGTGAAGCATATGAGCCTACCTGGTAGAATTGTGAGAAAAAGTGAGATAAGGCCCTTGAATCCTAGATCATGGGGCATACTAAGCACTGTCATCATTGTGCAGTGGAGTGGAGGAGGGCCACCAGCAGCAAGCACTCTTACTACGTGAGGTGTGACTCTGTTCAGCCAGATCATGAGAAGACACATCTGTTTAGTAATCTGTTCTAGAATGCTCCTAGGATTTATATCAAGTAACTCTAATTTTTAAAACTCACCTTTTAGCCCATTCTGAAAAGTGAGGCATTAGCTGATCTCTCCTAGTCTCCAAAATTCCCTAGTCCATTAATTTCCGTGATCTCTGCAGAAAGTACTGTTGGTTATGATGACCCATTATTCCATTACCCATTTACCCCATTACCAACATGCCTTTGGCCTAAAAGCTGGCACTCACTGAATGTAACCAAGTGAGATCTAATGTTCTCATAAAATATTCTAGGTTTAATTACCTCTTTGGTACTTGTTCATCCCACCTTCTTCAGTTTGAAGATATATTCTCTTAACAAAGAATCAATTGCTGAGTAGTTATTACTTTCAGTTCCAAACAAATTGTTAGTCTTCCCTTGACCTTTTACTACAAAACACATCCCTCACCCTATTTTTGTTGTCTTTTGACATATGTCATGAGTTTCTTCTATTTCTAAACTTCCTGACAATCTTGTGACAAGTTGACTCCACTACATTTTTTTGTTTGAATTTGATATCATGAATCTCTCTCTTTAAAACTTTATTTATTTACTCCATGAAAGTAAGACAGACAGAAACAGAGAAGAGGGAGAGTGCACCCCTGACAGGGTCTTGACACTGTGACTTCCTCTGCCCCCTGACTTGGCCAGTCCTGGATTATAATAAGCATATGTGATGCAGTTAGGGAGGTCTCTGGAGTTGAACCAGAAAACTTCCCACGTGGGATTGCCTCACAAAGTGTTGATTTACACTACTCCATCTGATCCCTGTGTACCTCCTTTACACATGCCTGTCTTTTTAGAAACTAGGCTCATTTGAGACCTGACTCCCCATGCAGCCATGTAGGTTCCTTAGAGTGCTTTTTAAAATCAAAATAGCCCATCACGTTGCCAGAATTTTACTTGCTCAAATCCTATAGTGATCCTCCTTGAACCATAATTTATAGGTATTTGAGTACAGAATCATAGCTGATCTTTTAAAGGCAGATGTGTTTCCTTAAAGTCCAAGGTGTTGGATTATACCAAGATGAATTTAATTCCTAATTATATCCAAGAATTCCTAGATGTCATGATTGTCTTCCCCCAAGGTTCTCTTACATCCACCTGATCAGAGTTTGCTGTTATTTTTGACCAGCATTTACTTGAGTAACAGTTCCCTTCACTACTTTCTCAACTTCGAAGTAATCAGATTATCATCTGTGCTATTGAAGAAACGATCAGTTCTTCTTGAGTACTTGAGATTTACTATAAAAAAATGTAGTGATGGGCCAGCAGGTGGTAGAGCGGTTAAGGTGCTAAACTCCCACACGCCTGATCGCAGTTTGAGCTCTGGACCCAGTGGCTTGAAATACACCAGGAGAGTGCGTGTGCATGCCCAAAATCCTAGGAGGGGAGGGGAGGAGGAGGGATTGCAGCATGGTCATCCCTCCAGGGGATGTTTTCACACTTTCTCTCTCTGTGTCTCTCTGGCAAGCACACGATCCTTACAGAAAAAAAAAATCTAAAAAAAGACACTGGAAATGTTTCTTCTTAGGACAGAGTTTTTTCAAACTAAGTCATTAGTGAATTATTAAATCAATGTGAGTTACAATCAGCATTGTGAAATGAAATAGAAAACAATAAAAAAGAACCATAACTGAGTGCACTACATGTAGAGGCTGAGCAGTCCTAATCAAAAAAATCTGAAATCTGAAATGCTCCAAAACCTGAAACTTTTAAACACTGACATGATGTCACAAGTAGAAGAACCCACTTTGCTTTTTGATGGTTCAAAGTACACAAATTTTGTTTCATGGTCAAAATAATTTAAAATGTTTGGGACCAGCAGTTAGCGTAATGGCTATGTCACTGGACTCCCATGTAGTTGACCACGATTTGAGTCCCAGACCCGGTGGCTTAAACTCACACCAGGCACATGTGCATGTGTGCCCAAGAAGAGAATGGAGGAGAAGGGATTATGGTATGGCCACCCCCCCCAAGGGGTGATTTCTCGCTTTCTGTCTCTCTCTTTCTGGGGAGCGCATGCGCCCTATAGCAAAAAACCTCTCCAAAAATAAAAAAAAAAAGTACTATCTTTGAGAAAAGGTATTATTGCTAGATATAATATCCAAGTTTAATTATTAAACATTCATAGACATCAAACAATGCATGAAAATATCCTTCAGTATTCAATTTGTGTTTCTAATTTTTTTCTATAAAGGGTGACTGGTGGCCACACAGTAGAGTACTGGAATATGCCTTTCAACCACCTTATGACACTAAGAGCACCCAGAGGAGTGATTTCCAAAAACCAACGTGTCCATTGGTTTCACCAGTTAAACATAGCAGGATGCAAAAACCTTCTTGTGGAATAGGTAAGGTGAGCAGTGGTAATATCTCTTTTGTGTTATCTCTGGTTACTATTAAATTCCGATGTATTAGATATGCTGACACTACCTGAGAAAATTACTTCTGTAGAGTTGAAAATATTTACACAGTGAGTACACTCCTTGACAAGTTTGTTCATTATTCCTTTTCAGTGGGCAGCTTCTCTGCAAACACGTTCAATATAGCATAATGAGATTTTTTTCTAATCGTTAATAATATTAGCCACAAAGTCAGAAACTAAGTAGCATGCTACTCATCATTACTGCCACAAAGTTTTTAGAGTTATAACTACTAAAATAGTAGTTGGTACTAAATGGCAGTATTTCCCAAAGTACACTCTGAGGATAGTAGTTTTTAGTATGTTTGTCGATGCTGCTTAAAAAAGAAAAAAAAAAAATCCAACCAAATGAAAAACAAGAGGCAATGATGGAATAACTTTTGCAAAAATAAATTTTAAAAGTTAATATTTTTTTTACATTTTAATTTTATTTTTTGGCCAGAGGACATGTGCACTTGCCAGAGAGAGACAGAAAGAGAGAGAGAGGGGAAAAGGAGAAAACACCCCCATGGGGAAGGATTACACTGCAATCCCTTCTCTATCGCTCCTTTCCTCCAGGATTCTTGGGCATACACTCATGCCTGCTATGCTTCTTAATATACTGAGTCAGAGTCTGGGACTGGAACCATGCAGTCGGCCATATGGAATCCAGCCACCTCAACCACCACACCACCAACAGTAGACTGGCCCTACTACTTTAAACTTTTAAAAATCCTAATTCAAAACATAGGGGCGATGGATTTACATGAAGGGGAGAGTAAATAATACTGTTTCCCTCACTTATTGATCATCTCACCCTTATTTTAGATCATCTTACTGGCATCTCACAAAACATAACTTAGGAAATAAGTGTTAAAGAGTCTATTAAATGAAATAGTTTCAGATCCAAAATCGACTTTACCTGACAATGTGATTATAATAAATTAAGACACATTTTATTCAAGTTCTGTTTAACTTACATTCTAGTCCCTTCTACCTCCCAAGTAGGATTCAGCAAGTCTTAAGCAAGTGCAGGATCAAATCCAAACCAATACACATTCACTGAGGACCCACTCTGGTCCTCAGCCTCCACGAAATCTCATAAGCTAAACTTTAAATAAGCTACCAAAACACATGACAGTAGACAACAAAGGACTGCTTTTACTTTTTTTCTAAAAATCACCCTTTTTATAAAAAACTTTCTCTCTTGAGACATCACAAAGTGCATGCATGTGAAAGTGAGAGAGAGAGAGAGAGAGAGATGAGCACCCCACACAAGGTGTACTCACACCACAACCCCCTCCCTCTAGTCTTCCAGCTTATGAATCGTGGGCACTCACACATGTGGCTGGTATGTTTGAGGCTGATAATACCAGGGATCAAACCATGGTGGCCACGCGGGATCTGGCTTCCCATGAGCAGTACAGGACTGCTGCACTGCAGAGCCACCCATAGGATTGAGTTCAGAGATCAGGAGTCTGTCACTTCATTTTAGCCTTCCAGCCTCTGTGACTGGTCAGTCTAGTTAATGATTCAAAAGGCAGCTAAATGAAGGTCAGGACACTAGAAAACGGTCATATTCAGCATGAGTTCCACCTCCAAGGAGGTAGTTAATGAAGAAGGCTAATTATTACACAATCTGTAACAAGGCCCTTGCCTTTAGAAACAATTTGAGTTTCTTCTTTTGACTCAGGATAGTAAAGAGGGCACAGATACCTAAATTTTCTGCCTCCCAAGACTATTAAATAGGAGCGAAGCCATAAACCTATAATAGTAAGAGAATGGAGGAAGTACTTTCTGGAATGTGGCCCAGAATGGAAACCTAGTGATGGATAAAGGACAAGCAAAGAAGCAACACCTAGGAGATGCAATGAAGAGCCACTCTACCCGATGAAGCATAGCAGAGGTGAGAATGAAGAGTGGAAAGAGGGAAACAGGGTTACAAGAAAGTCTGTCACTCAAATATGGCTCCATTCACAAGCTCTCTATCCTCTCCCAACATGAAGACTGTTTGAGCCCAGGGTCTTAGGCAGATGGCAACTACTCTGTCAGTTATTTTGGTAAATCAAGCTGATCCCATCCTGTTCGTAATTATGGGTGGAAAACTAAAGATTAGAACTGTACAAAAACAAATATTTGAGAAAAGTGTGGAGGCTGGTTGGCCATGTGGGATCCTGCTCCATTAATCACCAGGCCATGAAGTCAACATCCCCCAAATTAATTTTTCTTTTTCTTTTCCTTTTTTTTTTTCTTTGTAGTGTGCATGTGCTCACCAGAAATAGAGAGAGACAGAAAGACAGAAACTGAGAAATCTGCAATCTTTTCTCTTCCACTCTCCTCTTGGGATGTTGGACACATGCATATACACTCTTGCCATAATTTTCAAGCCTCTGGGTTCAGAACTTGAACCACTGAGTTGGCTATGTGGGATCCAGGGCCTTAACTACCATACCACCTGCTGCTCTCCCCCGCCCCCACCCCAGGAGTTTTTGACTAGACTTGAAATATATTGATACAAAGAACAACTGGAAAAAAACATACAACTTTGTTTCGAATAAGTTTTATTTAACACCAAAGCTTTTATAAGGAAATGAAGATCGAGTTAGAAAGTACTAAATTGTAAAAATGTGACAAGGCCAAGGAACTTGGGTTAGGGAAGCTGATTCGCTGGAGAAGTCATTAGCGAGATAAGGTTAGTTTAATTAGGTTTGTTAATACAGGGTTCCTGTGTTTGACGATAAGAATGATACTTCTGGGGACAGGGAGGAGATCTTCCATGGGAGAATTTCATCTCCTGCTTTTAAGAAAAAGAAGGAAGGTCAAGATATTTTTCTTGGATCTGTTGTTTTTCAAGCACCTTTAACTCAATATAGCTTTTAAAAATCCTAATTCAAAACATAGGGGCGATGGATTTACATGAAGGGGAGAGTAAATAATACTGTTTCCCTCACTTATTGATCATCTCACCCTTATTTTAGATCATCTTACTGGCATCTCACAAAACATAACTTAGGAAATAAGTGTTAAAGAGTCTATTAAATGAAATAGTTTCAGATCCAAAATCGACTTTACCTGACAATGTGATTATAATAAATTAAGACACATTTTATTCAAGTTCTGTTTAACTTACATTCTAGTCCCTTCTACCTCCCAAGTAGGATTCAGCAAGTCTTAAGCAAGTGCAGGATCAAATCCAAACCAATACACATTCACTGAGGACCCACTCTGGTCCTCAGCCTCCACGAAATCTCATAAGCTAAACTTTAAATAAGCTACCAAAACACATGACAGTAGACAACAAAGGACTGCTTTTACTTTTTTTCTAAAAATCACCCTTTTTATAAAAAACTTTCTCTCTTGAGACATCACAAAGTGCATGCATGTGAAAGTGAGAGAGAGAGAGAGAGAGAGATGAGCACCCCACACAAGGTGTACTCACACCACAACCCCCTCCCTCTAGTCTTCCAGCTTATGAATCGTGGGCACTCACACATGTGGCTGGTATGTTTGAGGCTGATAATACCAGGGATCAAACCATGGTGGCCACGCGGGATCTGGCTTCCCATGAGCAGTACAGGACTGCTGCACTGCAGAGCCACCCATAGGATTGAGTTCAGAGATCAGGAGTCTGTCACTTCATTTTAGCCTTCCAGCCTCTGTGACTGGTCAGTCTAGTTAATGATTCAAAAGGCAGCTAAATGAAGGTCAGGACACTAGAAAACGGTCATATTCAGCATGAGTTCCACCTCCAAGGAGGTAGTTAATGAAGAAGGCTAATTATTACACAATCTGTAACAAGGCCCTTGCCTTTAGAAACAATTTGAGTTTCTTCTTTTGACTCAGGATAGTAAAGAGGGCACAGATACCTAAATTTTCTGCCTCCCAAGACTATTAAATAGGAGCGAAGCCATAAACCTATAATAGTAAGAGAATGGAGGAAGTACTTTCTGGAATGTGGCCCAGAATGGAAACCTAGTGATGGATAAAGGACAAGCAAAGAAGCAACACCTAGGAGATGCAATGAAGAGCCACTCTACCCGATGAAGCATAGCAGAGGTGAGAATGAAGGGTGGAAAGAGGGAAACAGGGTTAGTCACTCAAATATGGCTCCATTCACAAGCTCTCTATCCTCTCCCAACATGAAGACTGTTTGAGCCCAGGGTCTTAGGCAGATGGCAACTACTCTGTCAGTTATTTTGGTAAATCAAGCTGATCCCATCCTGTTCGTAATTATGGGTGGAAAACTAAAGATTAGAACTGTACAAAAACAAATATTTGAGAAAAGTGTGGAGGCTGGTTGGCCATGTGGGATCCTGCTCCATTAATCACCAGGCCATGAAGTCAACATCCCCCAAATTAATTTTTCTTTTTCTTTTCCTTTTTTTTTTTCTTTGTAGTGTGCATGTGCTCACCAGAAATAGAGAGAGACAGAAAGACAGAAACTGAGAAATCTGCAATCTTTTCTCTTCCACTCTCCTCTTGGGATGTTGGACACATGCATATACACTCTTGCCATAATTTTCAAGTCTCTGGGTTCAGAACTTGAACCACTGAGTTGGCTATGTGGGATCCAGGGCCTTAACTACCATACCACCTGCTGCTCTCCCCCGCCCCCACCCCAGGAGTTTTTGACTAGACTTGAAATATATTGATACAAAGAACAACTGGAAAAAAACATACAACTTTGTTTCGAATAAGTTTTATTTAACACCAAAGCTTTTATAAGGAAATGAAGATCGAGTTAGAAAGTACTAAATTGTAAAAATGTGACAAGGCCAAGGAACTTGGGTTAGGGAAGCTGATTCGCTGGAGAAGTCATTAGCGAGATAAGGTTAGTTTAATTAGGTTTGTTAATACAGGGTTCCTGTGTTTGACGATAAGAATGATACTTCTGGGGACAGGGAGGAGATCTTCCATGGGAGAATTTCATCTCCTGCTTTTAAGAAAAAG